CGTTAGTCGTCCAGAAATGAATGACGAGACTTTTCATTAAGAAATTAAAAAAATTAATTCTGAAGATGAAACAATAATGGAGATAAATTAAATACTATTTATATTACTACTTAATATTATTAATAAATTAAATACTATGACAAATGTTAAATTACGTAATCTTCGATAATCTCGAGACAAAATTTCAACGTTGTAGACATTTTCATAGGGTTCTAACCTGGTAGCCTACGTGTTAAATATCTCGATTTGAAAACAAAGTGATTTATGCCATTTCCAAAATAAACAGCTCGTGTATGAAGGTCAACATCAAGAAATTACAAAAAAATATTTCTACACCCATATCTTCCAATTAACAGGTTGACTGCTACGCTAAAATTTTGTTTGAAAATAATTGGAAACTACATAATTTAAAGTTCTTCACAGTGTTTGTTGTTACAACCTTATCAAAATTCAGGAATCTTGTCCAGATTTATTTTCTTTAACATCTCATCTTCAGAATAACTTTTTTAAATTCCTTTTTATTTTTATTTTTCATTTTAGTCCTTTATATTTTCCTTTTATTATTCCTTTTTATTTTATTATTTTATTTAGTATCCTTTGACATTTTTTTCTATAGGCTGCAATATCTAAAAGAATTAAGATCCTCGGTGCACTGATTTGCCCGAGGGTCCACGATGCTGTTAAGACGGCCCTGGCTCGAACAGAACTCGAAATATTCTAGCTGGCAAAATTTGAAACAATTGCAAAAAAAATAATACAAGAGTTTATTAAAATTCCAATCGATTTTATTTGCGTAATGTTTATATTTTAAGTAATGATCATTGTTATCGTTTAAATGTCATTCGACGCACAATGATATAGCAATATGATCAATTGAATGCGCCGAGACGTATCATGCTCTTAATGGGTGAAACATAAAACGTAAATCAAACGTAATCAATCATATTCGATCAATCGTATTACCTTTTCAATTAATGTTAAAGAATATTTATCTCGTATTTCTCAAAGTTCAACCTTGGCTACCGTTATTCTACAAACACACCTGCGATCTAATCTACACAAGTTTATTACTATTTCTAATTTATTTACGCAGCACATTGCATATTTTGTAAATGATAAAATGAAAATACTACTAGCTTTACTTGAAGTACGTTACGTAAATAAACTCGACTTAAAATAATAATAAACTTTTTATTTTTTACGTGGAAACAGTTGTCATGGGAGGTATAGATTTTGTACTATGACAAGTTTGGCCCTTGCGACGAGTAGTGCGCGATAAAATTTAAAGAACAAATTTAATCTTCGATTCCAAGGTCAACAATACGATAAGATTTTCAATAGTTTCTCTGTATAATTCGATTGCAAAAGTGTCGCGTGTTCGATGTTTTTACCTTTATCGAGAGGGTCTGTTCGAATGTAAACACAATGTCAAGAAAAGTTATTATTTGGTTAGAAAAAGAAAATGTGGTAGGAGTTGTTTGGTGATTATGAATTGTTATACGAATTTATATAGTTACAAGTTTATTTTTCATCTTTATTTTCATTTTTTTTCTCTATTATTCTATACTATACTATTATTACTATAATTCTATTCTATATTATTTTTCTCTATTTTTCTCCATTCGTTTAATTTATTACAGTTATATTGAAGATGAATTTGGATGTATAATATATAGAAATATCGTGTGACCCTTCAACGTTAAGTAATATTCAGTAATTAACCGATTAGTATATAACGTATATTGGTACCGTTTTCGAAGTATAGCCCACTTCGGGTAAACAAAATACTTTAAGATTAATATACACGAGTTTCAAATACAACTAAGGTAATAGTTATAAGACCAAGTAGTTTAAATGTTAATAGAGAAATCCTTATGAATAATCATGTGTATATATATATATATATATATATATATATGTATATATAAAATATTCATTAAGTATTCATGTATATATATAGATAAAATACTGTAAACATTAAAAATAAACTTACAAATTTGCGTTGAAAAATTATATGTATATATATATATAATTTCTCAACGCAAAATTCTAAGTTTATATTTAATGTTCACAGTATTTTATCTTTCAATTTTCTTTTTTTGCGTAAAGTAATCTCTATATATGTATACGGAAATGATATACCGTTAATTAGAAATCGATATCGAAATTGTAAGGGCAGTTTTGAGCTGTAGAAGTAGAGACGCGCATCAGTGTAACGGAAACTTTAAACGCGTTATTCTCGAGTCAGCATTTTCAAAATCAGTGGCCACTCTAGCCTCGCCAATTGTCAATCAATCAATCAATATTCAATCGATTTTTCTTTTTATGTAATCATCATATGTTTTTCTAGTGAAACATGTAGGATTTCTTTATTATATTAATATTTATATTTTTTATGAAATTTTAAGTACCGCATTTGTAGGCTAATACCATGATTGTGATGACATCGTTTATGATTATGTATTTCACTAGCTGTTGGACTAAGGAAACTAATTAATTTTGTTTCACTGTTCTAGCTTGAACCTCGTTTGATTTATCGTTTCCGTCGCAAAACCATTTATTTTTGAAACGATCCACTGAATCGCCTTTCAAACTTCCATTTTTGTAAAAATGTAAAATAAAAAAATTCTCTAGTTGAATACTTATACAATACATTAATGTACTTCAATGTACATAAAATTTTTCTATCAAAAATAAACATTTTTGGAGAAACCTGAAAATTCGTATGAGCGTCTTAAACATATTTAAAAATTATATTCATTATTTACACGGATTATCATGCAAAAGAGAATGTTACAAAATACAGAATTATGTTTACGATCAGATTCTATCACGTAAATTATCCAACTACAATTTTATATCCTGTGATGCAATTTTTCATGGAATAATTAGTAATCACTTATTCCGCTATAACTTCTTTTTGTAACAACAGTCAACTCTTGTTTAATACGGTTAATTCGTTATATACTGTATGCAGGGCCGACGTTAGGGAGGGGCGCGGTCGGGCAACCGCCCGGGGCGCCAGATTTTTGGGGGCGTCGCAATTCGGTGTCTCTAGTATACGAATATATCGATATACAGGGTGTCCCAATAATGTTGTAACACTTTAAAAGGGGTGGTTTGGGAGGTGATTTGAAACAACTTTTTCCTTAGCGAAAATGTTGTCCGAGGCTTCATTAAGAAGATATTAACAAAAAACTTCGACCAATCAGAGCGCGTAGCCTACGCTACCTTGGCCCGCCCACCGGTATACTCGCGCTCTGATTGATCGGGGTTTTCTGTTAATATCTCCCTAACGAAGCCTCGGACAACATTTTCGCTAAGGAAAAAGTTGTTTCAAATCACCTCCCGAACCACGTCTTTCAAGGACCTCCACCATTTTTTAGACACCCTGTGCATACTCCTGAAGGGGCGCCACGATAATCTTGCCCGGGGCGCCAATATTGCTAAAACCGGCCCTGGTTGTATGGAATATGTAGCTGTTAAGTGAAACCATAAACTGATAGAAATCAGGGGAATGCGTTCCGTGTGTTGAATGGTAAACGCGTTCTTAGAAAGCCGTGCAAATATGAAAAACCGTGTGAATGAAACTGTGAAATGACGTAACCACGCAGAATTTATTTTTAGGAAACATTTATTCGGAAATTCTATAAATTTAATAAACAGAGATTACAAGATATTCAATATAAGAGTTTATGAAAGAGAAAATAACGTTATTATTTTTGTTCCAAGTTTACGAAACCGTATTATATGGAAACCGTTATCGTACTTCAGGAAGACTATCGCAATTTTTATATCGCGTTGTAAGAGGGTTGACTCTATAACTTCCTTTTCCCAGCACAGTATTTGTATTCCGAACAAAATGAAAAGTAAGTTTGGAAATCTTAAATACACACTTTACACGGCTATACAGTGAGGAGCATAGCTAGATACCAATAATCAAAGATTTCGTATAATTCACTATATATTGCCACTAACATTAAAGTACGCACAAAACAAATATAACAAAAACATTTTGCACTGTTTCATGTAATATAAACAATTGAAGATGTCGATATGCTTTGTTCACCTGCAACAAAGAATATTCAATTGATACTGTGTGTATATGTATATATATATTCCGTTAATATCTCTTAAAATATAAATATAAATATATATATATATATATATATATTTAATATAAATATAAATATATATATAAATATAATATAAATATAATATAAATATAAATATAAATATATTTATATTAAATATATATATATTTAATATAATATACATATATATCATAGTATATATTATATAGTATATTATAATATAATTATATATATATAATATGATTTTCTAGTTTTAATAGCTTACAATTGGACAACAGCAGATCAAAAATTATAAAAAATGGTTTATATTACATTAAACAGTGCAAAATTTCTTCATGCAGTTCCTGTTGTATTTATTTGTTGTATATCTTAATGTTAATGGCAATATAACATGAATTATACGAAATCTCTAGTTATTGGTACAATTATGCTCTTCACTGTATACGTAACTCACTGATCGTTTGAAGTACGAGTATCATGTACGAGTACCATAGAAATAAACACAGGTCACTACCACTGTCTATTTATGAAACGGTTGTTGATCTTACTTGTGCGGGAAACGTACACAACGATTCCTGCGAATTCTGTTAATCCTCTGGACGAACGATCGTTCTGGAAAGTGGTCGTTAGCCAAATTTGAAATACGATCCCGAAATTCGTGTTCTCTCAATCGGCGAATCGAGCCAAAAACTCTCGTTTCGGTAGCTCGATGCGAAACCGTTCGCAAGAATTAACGGGATACACCAGAAGGATCGATCGACGAAAAGTCAACGGCACCGTGTGTGCGTGTGTCTTTACGTTAGTGTATCATCTATTATCGTCCAACTCCAATTGTCTCACGTCGTTTCGAAGGAAAACACCGTCGGTTCTGTTTCACGAAACTTAATTTTATAAAATGAAACTCACCTTCGATCCTCTGTGTCTCGCGTTCGTCTGGTTTAAGGTTTAGCGAACTGACCCCTAGCCTCGGGCAACGGACAGATTAGAATCGGTTTAGAAATGGTAGGGGGGGAAAGCGCCAACCGAAAACTCCGTGTGCCCCTTCGTTTCTCCTCTCTTTGCTCTCTGCCAGCCGTTGGAAAGGAGCAGAAGTGTGTCTGTATCGTCCGACTGCGAGCGCGTCGCGACGTACAATGTACAATGCGCGATGGTTGGTACGCGACTGAATGGTGCGTCGCCTCGCGTCGCGTCGGTCGATCGGTCCCTCTACTTACGTCCTTCTATACTAGTTCCTCCGACTCTGGTTCCGTGTCGATGTCGATACGTTCCTATCGCTAGCGACAAACCGACTGATTTAAGGGTTGCTTTGTGGAAAGAAAGCTCCACGACTCCATGGCTAGGACAGTTTTTTATGATTGAAAATCATTTTATTTTGGAAATAAGGGAGGTGCTAACAGGGAAATGGAACGTTTGTGACATAAAAATGTAGCATGGACAGAGACAGGGACAAATGGATAGGTATGAGAGACTGGAATACGGGGGGTGATAACGAGGAAAAGCTTTTTACTGAGTTTCATTCTCAATTTCTCGATTCTTACGATGAGCGTGAAATCTGTTAATTTTTTTTTTTTAACACACGTTTATTGTATCAGAACATTTTGAATATACACTATCGCTCATAAGTACTTGCCCATCCAGTATTTTCAACACATGTCAAACTCACAACATTCTTTACGCATAAAATCGTACGGATTTAAATATGTAAAGTGCTCGCATATTTTATTCGTGTAAAAAATTGAAGATCGAATATTTTATAAGAAAACTTAGCGCGCGCTTGGTTCGGAGATATTTGGTATTGCGTAGTTATAGTACGGAAGGCAGCGACAATTGATTTACATCATTAGTACAAAGCTGATTTTTCTTTATTTCGTTGTTTATACAGGGTGCCCCAAAAATGTTGTAGCGCCTTGAAAAGTGTTCTATGATCTTTCCCCTATATTTTGGGAAAATTCATGATCGCATGTTTGTAAAATAGTTACGTTTCCAAAGTATAATTGGAGACTGTCGGAATTCAAGCAGATTTAGTAAATATCCAGGGTGTCCCAAAAATGTTGTAACACCTTGCAGGGGGTGGTTCAGGAGGTGATTCGAAACAACTTTTTCCTTAGCGAAAATGTTGTCTGAGGCTTCGTTGAGGAAATATTAATGGAAAACACTGACCAATCAGAGCGCGAGTATACCGTTGGAGTGCCCGCGGTAGCGTATGAGCGCGGCCGTTTAGCGCGTAGCCTACGCTCCACCGGCATACTCGCGCTCTGATTGGTCGGGCTTTTCCGTTAATATCTCCTCAACGAAACCTCGGACAACATTTGCGCTAAGGAAAAAGTTGTTTTAAATCACCTCCCGAACCACCTCTATCAAAGACCTCCAACATTTTTGGGACACCCTGTACACGTATTTATCCAATCGCATTGAATATTTTAATCTTTTCCAACTCTAAATGTACTAGGAAGCTGATAAAGAATTCACATCTAATATCAGAATATATGGATTCAATTATCCAAAAAAAAATATCGATGCTTTGTTATCATTTTCAATTATCATCGTCAATTAAACTCGAAACTTTTTTGGTAATTAGAGTTTGAGATTGTTCATATTTCTATTTCAACGTTATCTACATTTGAAAACTTTTTATCTCGCATCAACCTTTTTTATACTATTTTATTTTGCGACTACTCTATTAAAATTAAAAGTTTCTCTCGCCTAGGAAAATTACTTTTTTATATTTTACTATAAAACACTGTTACTGTTAATAATTATATGAATGACGTCCCAAAAAAATTGACGACGGACAAATTAATAATAATAGATTATGCTTGCGCAAACTGTATATATTTTTGTAAACTTTATTTTAGTACAAACTGAAGCATTTAATAAATATTGTATTTATTTTAGTAAAGTTAATCGTAACATTGTAAATTTAGGAGATGACTCTAGAACAAAAAGAATGTAAAATAAGTAATAGCTTGTTTGGGACTGTAAAATTATTATGAACATATATTTCCAATTTCTATTTGGGAATATTATGACTCTAAAGTTCGTATTTCCCTATGCAAGCCTAATGAATTTTGATATAGATACATGTAACAGAATATCTGCTAATGATAGCCAGGTAATCTAGAAAGAAAGATTCAAGAGCACAGCGATCACAATTGTGAATTAATTCGTCATCGCAAGTGTTTGCCAATTAGTCTGATAAGCTGATGGATTTCAGATAATACAAGTATCGTCTGACTATGACCAGTCGTTTCTACAAGCACAAATCGAATGATGCTATAGACAGAAGAAACGATTAAATAGACGCAATATAATTACACCAATTTGCAATATTATTCAGCTTAATAAATCTGTCTCCGTTTTTACTTATTAGTTACCGCACGATATCAAGTGTTGGTGCATTTATCTTTGCTATCTTTTCCTAGAACGAATCGACATTCTTTTTCCTGGCAGTTACAATCGGAAATAGATATCGTTTTATTGCATCAATTGAAACACTTGGAGGAAAGAACTGGATAAAATATTATTTCGAATAGTAAATAATAAATAGTATAGTTTATTGTAAATCGCGTGTAGATCCCTCGTAGCATTTATGGTTGGCCAACGCTTTCCAATAGTTGGGGATCAGTTGGGATATAGTTAGTATTTTTATCTACAAATGCCCAAATAATGGCCCACGTTATAGAGATTATGACAATTTACCTACAAATACCCAATTTTGGACAACAATCACTGTAGTTGGTTAATTAACAAGAAATTTACAATATAATACTACGTTGGACCAACTAAAGCACGTCAACCCTTAAACGTTGTCCTTAGACGTTGTGGAAATCTTGCTACAAACAAGAACCTGTTGTTATATTCTAAAATAAGTTCTTTCTATTCTTATTTATGAATAATACTCGCGGTTTCCTATTTTCAGTAGATTTTGTCATACTTTTAAGCAATTATATCTAGAGCTGGAGAGTATTCATATAAATTAACTAGAAATTATTTCATACTTTTTAGTGCAGTTTTAATGTTTTTCGAAGTCGGTTATCTTTTTTGTCCAAAAATTAATTTATAGAATGCTATATTTATTTCATTGTGTTTTCTTTACATTCGATACATTCATTAGTATAATTAAGAGAAATTAATGGGTAATATAATAATGTAAATTAACGAAGTTAAAATGGTTGGATGATCTCTGAAACTTCACTCTAATACTAATTAAATATTATTTAGACTATTGGAGATTACATAATCAAACATTTATCGAGGTATTTATTTTTGTAACTTCGTCAGAATTCATGAGTTTCATTCATTTCCTTTGATGCTTCACTTTCAAAATTAATTTTTTTAGTTCTTCAGTGAAAAGCATTGCCATTCATATATGGGCGATATGGTCACTTATCGTACGGAATAAATTGCATTAATCGAATTTTGAAAAGTTCGAATGATCGAAGGAAAATTTGAGAGTCCTCTATTATTACCTTGTTAGCAATGACAAAGAGTAAGAAAACTCAAGGGCGCTTTGTCGTAGCTATGTGAACTTGGCACCCGACTTCTCAAAAATTAATTTTTTGTTATAGAAAAGGATAGTATTTCGTTAGTACCTGATTGTACCTCCAATAGTTTCGTTTGTACCTTCACCAATTAATAATTTTAAAAAATTCAAAAGATGGTCAGCACCCGACATTGAGATTTTGGAAATTGGTTTTTCTCGATTCTTTAGAATCGTTTATACCCGTTTGTACTGCTTTTCGTTTCGTTTGTACCTCAATAGTTTACATTTTACAAGCAACTGTTGATCCGCGTAAGAGTGAAGTTCGTTAATCTTCAAGATTTTTAAAATCTGTTTTTTCCCGATTCTTTAGAATCGTTTGTACCTGCAGGAATTTTAAATATCTTGAAAATTAACGAACTTCACTCTTACGCGGATCAAAAATTGCTGTATAAGTTAAACTATTGAGGTACAAATGAAAAGAAAAATGTTTCCGGCGGGTACAAACGATTCTAAAGAATCGGGAAAAACCGATTTCAAAAATCTCGATGTCGGGCGCTGACCATTTTTTGAATTTTTTTTCATTATTAATTGGTGGAGGTACAAACGAAACTATTGGAGGTACAATCAGGTACTAACGAGATACTATCGTTTTCTATAAAAAAAAATTAATTTTTGAAAAGTCGAGTGCCAAGTTCACATAGCTCTTTGTCGTTCCTAAATATCCCCATTTGGAATGTTTACGGAGATACACCTACCGATTCTACCCAACAAGACGACCCTGAAGAAATGGGTTAAAGACCGCGAGCCTTTCCCCATCCGTCTTTCGAGTTCTCTCGAGAGGTTCGATCGCCTCGCGTACGCTCTTGTACAGTTTCACAAAGATAGACCTATGCAGAATTTACGTATATGGTGCACCATATAACCTGCAACTTCTCTACTCTACTGTTCACGTGATTCACACGCCTCCGTCCATGTTGCTGTTTTCGTAATATTATCTGCCGTGCACGTGAACTCCTACGTGCTATTTCATTCGACATCTACCCCGTGTCTCGCATGAAGCGTTACAATTTCTTTTTCTTAAAAGCTAACGAAGATATCGACTTTTGAGAGACAAACGGAAGATTCAAGATTAGCTCGAGCACAAAATTTCTGATTACTGCTGGCTATAGTTAACCAATTCTCTAATATAAGTGAAATATTAAAAGAAATTTTGATGACAGAAAATGGTTGTCATGCTTATTATGTGTATGATCAATTTAAATTTAATCTGCTTTTAGTGATTTTTAGCATGAATAAATAAATAAGTGGTATTTACTATACTATAGATAGAAAACAAAAAGTTGTAAAGTAACACTAGTGTACTTTACCCGAACAAAAATGTTTGATGAGAAATCTCAAAAATGTAGTATGAGAGCAATTGATTAAATAGTATATATTGTATATATATTATTGTATATATTGTTGTAAATATTGTGATAAAAACCAAAAGATGGCAAAGATTCAAGTAACATTAGTGTAATTTACTTGAACAAAAATTGTAGTATAGAGAGTAATTATTTAAATGATGCAAGGGATATACGTAAGAAAGATGTTAAAAGAAAATATACTCTTACATCAATAATCAATCTATTAATAGATAAAGCTGGTTAAATTGTTTCCACTT